TCATGATAATATTCAACATTCACATTATCATCACCTGAATTGTTATTTGAAAGGAATCCATGTTCAAAAATTTCTTTGATCCAGTTCTGCAGTTCATGGTCTTCCTGGACATCAGCATCAGTCTTGTAGTAGTGGGTGAGTACTGGCTCCACAAACCTTTGGACAAATGGGGACACATTCAAACATTGTTTTTGGTTTCACTGTAGCTTTCTATGCACACTAATTAAAAAAAAGAACTATAATGCATTACAGATGATTATCAAGTATATAAAACGTGTGAAACTCATTTCCACTCTGTAATTAGAGTTTTTACTCCTCTTATCAAGTTTATTTCCCACCACTGACATTGAGAGAGAGAGATTGGCATGTAAAGGAAAACTATTTACTGGGAAGGCCTGAGGAACTATTTTGTTTTGGTAAGCCTTTGGGTATGGATGAATAGTAAACATGGTTGCATGAATAAATGCATATAATTAAAAAATACAAACCAAGCACAAAGTGCAAGGCCTTATCTGTGTGTGGAGCACAAACTGGGAAGGAGTTATTTTCCTTTTTCTATATTTTATGTGTTGTCAGACAAAGTTGTGATATAACCTGTGGATGATTTCCCAAAGCTTGAGTCCGTCATCTCTGTAGTAGAAGTTTGGTACATCTTTCAATCCACGCTCTTCAATATCATCTGGGATACAGAGGGAGGTGTAGGTCACGGTGGCCAGTGATTTCTTCAGGATTTCGGCGGCACCCTTTCCACCAGAAGCTGTAAACTAGTGAATAGTCAAGGCACAATTAGAGGAGACTACATGATACTTAAAAAGAAGATATATTGGACTATTTATACCTTAGCAAAAGATCCATTCTCAGAGATCAGAAGGTCCCGAGCTAAGTAATTGATCTGAAGAGTGTAGCGAGTGTGAGGTCTGAGAAGCTGACGGGAAGAGGAAAATTCATTAAGAAAAAATCTTTTTCCTTTCTTTTCGGATGATTTATATTCATGTTCACATTTGTGTGTAGTCCTGTGTTTCACTGCTGCTCAATCAAGTTATTTAGCTGTGTAGGTTAACTTAGAAGCATGAAGGCTCCTCAGCCTTAGTTACCTTGTATAGAGGATGCACCATGGGCAGGTTGCGCAGCAATGAGACTGTAAAAACCTCAGCCAGCAGGTGAGTGCGCAGCAGGTGAGCATTCAGTTCATACAGGTTGAAATCTGCACTCCTCACAAAGATTTTGGCTAACAACCAGTCGTACTCAGAATCAGTAGGGAGAAAGACTGGGTTGTCCTCTGCTGATTTTTGCTTCAGCTGCAGCAGACGAGACAAACATGTTGTAAATTCAATGAATGTGTTAGTACTGAATAAATACATACAATGTGTGTTTTTAATGCCCCATGTTCTTTCCAGAGACCAGACAGCAAGGTTTGTGTAGGTTTTCATCAACAGTGGGTAATTCAGTTTTCCCAAAGGGGTCAGATGATAAAATTAAACTCTTTTAGAGTTCTGTATGTGAACACAGTTATGGTCATTATTATTTTGATCTAATTTAAAAAAAAAAAAAAAGTGTTTTGAGTAAATGTTGCAGTCTCATGTACTCCAGTTTTTATTCCTGTTTTTCTTTTACTTTCTGTCTTGATTGATATCAGTAATGATGGGATGGTCATCCCATTTGATCCACACAATCACCCTGCTTCCACACATGGAGGAATATATCCTTATTTTAAGTAAGCAGCATAAAACAGGAAACTGCCTTCTCTTCCAGAATCCTCTCACTAAACTATTCCCACATCAATGTGTTTGATTCAGCCACTGCCAGAGCAGCACTCTGCTTAGCCTAGCAGTAACTGTAGTCATCCATTAGCATCTTATAAATTAACCAAGTTAAAAAAAAACTCCTCCTTTGATTTGACAGCACTCTTAACCTTTGGTGCCTATTGTTCGGTTTGTAGACTGCCAACATGACATGCGCCAACTACCAACTGGAGGAACTTCACGCACCCACATCTTGCCTGCTTCAGAATGCAGTTGAAGTTCTGCAGAGGTAGGAATTGTCCCAGACCTGGTGTTTTGGTGCCAGATGCACTTAAACTTGAAGTGTTTATTATGGATAATCTGTGATTAACATTGAGATCCAATACAGATCATCACTCAGGCTCAGATAAGCAAGGCATTCTTACTTGCCTCTTGAAGTTTCATTGTCTTTGACATGAGCAATTAAGTCCTCCAGCATGAAAATTAAATCAGTTGGCCACACATGCAGGCTAGGGGCAACCCAACAGAATAAAGATCCTTTAATGATGGTTTTTTTTTTTGCCAACTTCATTGAATGCAGATGATGATGAAATGTATAATTATTACAGTTGGATTTCCACAAATCAAACTTCAGTGGGTCAACTTCACTTCATAACAAAGAGAAGTCTTTGCTGCTGTCGAGATCAATTAGCAGCTGATCTAACTGTGACTATCACATTCAGCAAGGCTGATATTTTTTCTTGTAAACAAAAATAACTTTTATAGTACTTGAGAACCAAAGTCCTAAACTTACCTGAATAGCAATTGGCATCAGCTGGTTCTCTTCATTTTTCCTGAGCAGAACAAGGGGAGCCATCAAGTACTGTTTTTTTCCCATTGATGGTGTTTGCTTGCACTCTATCCAAAAGCTTATAGTCACACAGGAAGATGTTGCCCTTCTGTTTTAAATTTCAGAAAGAGGCACAACAATTTGATTCTGTACACATACTTATGCCTTTTACATTTACAAAGTAAACGTGTAAATGTCCTCACATTGCCAAACAGATAAACCAGATAACAGTCAACTTTAGTTCATTGGGATTACCATAATTTCATCCTCCAATTTCCACTGACAATTGGGAAAGACCTTGCCTTTAGGTAAAGAAAACTTCTCTGGCCATTCTTTACAGCATTTGATGGGAATTGAACAATTACCGTCATTTCATCTTTGAGATTATGCTGACCATCAGGGAAGACCATTTTATCAGTGACAGAAAAGTTGTCTGGCAGTGCTGTACAGCTTCGGATCAATATGGGGTTGACACCATTTAGAAACTGGTAGCCAAAGAAAGCGTCCTTCTTCCAATGTTTTTGAACATAATCTGGAAATAAAACATCATTTTACTTCATCGTAAAATAAAACTGACTTTAAATTCATGGATGTAACTGTGAGTCTGAGCCTTCCAGATATTAAACAGGAATCTTTAGTGGAATTGGTAAAATATACATGTTTTGATAGATAAACAACTTTTTAAAAATTTCATATACTTGTAATTTTCTCTTGGTTTCAGAAGAAGCCAAGAGAATATAGTGGAATAGTGATTTCACAACCTTATTTACTGGGAATTAAGTATTCCTGAGTCAATTGTCATCTTTAGTTTAATGATCATTTCATTACCTGATGTTTTAGTCTGATGGATACGCAACAGGAGACTAATATCTTCCATACGAGTAAATTCCTTTTTCCACTCCAATATTTGCATTAGTCCCATTTGCCCCAGTCTATAAAGTAAAGATACAACAGTTTGTGTTAAGATGAATTTAATAATTACATTGTATCTATAGATAGATAGTTAAGGCATTCACCCTTTGGCTGAAATGTAGGTCATTTCTGCAGTCTTAGTTAAAGAGAAGCGGATGTCATAGGGCAGTGACTGGGCATTGTCTGCCTTCATGCAGTGTGCAATTCCCTCTTTTTCCCAGCTGAAAAAAAAAGTTTTAAGACATAAAGGATGCGGGTGGTCCCCATTCACAAACAATGCCTGTGTCTGAGAATAAACACAGAGGTGGATAATGTTATTAGCTTTAGTTATTAGATTTTAACCTCTTAAGCCCCAACGCCCCCTGATACGGGGGCAAAAAGCAGGAGATCAGGTAGGCTTGGGGCTTAAGAGGTTAAAATAACAGCTCAGCACTCTTACCAATAGACTTGCTGTTGCTTCTCCAGCTCTTCCTGCCGACTGTACTTGGCTAGAAGACTGTTTTTTTCTTGAGAGGCTCTGAGAGCTTAAACATAGAAATGTGTACTGTTTTACAGCATTTACCTGGTTTGAATTTTGTCATTATTCTTTATACTTTATCTTTCTGTTTTTATCTTTCCTGTTATCAGTAAATTACATGCATGATGTCAGGCAAGCATGTTTCCACAAACCTTCTCCCTCTTTGAAGCGGTGAACATCGCTGTTGGTGATCCATTGGTAGATAGGAAAGTGGTAGGTGTCTCCTTCAGGGGAAGTCACTTCTACCTTGGCTGCATACCAAGACATGTCTGGGAGGAGTAACCGATGTTCTTTGTCTACCTCTATCAGCAAAAGCTCTCCAAGGGAGACTGGGCAGGTCACAGTAAAACGTGACACCTAGAGTAATGACACATCAGCTTTGGAACATTTACAAGTGATCAAGATTACATATATATTATAATTGGGAGCTAGGCTGTAACCTTATGAAACATTTACTTTAATGGTGGAAAAAAAATTGATGTATTTGATGTAATAAATCAGTGTTTAATCTAATTTAGCCAAAGATCAGCAAGCATGACACACATTTAAACATGGAGATGGGTATTTCTGACTTACTGCACCGCTGTAGAAAGATGGCATGCAGCTCCACAGGCATTTGCGTTTGCTCGATCCATTAAGGCCAACCAGCTTAATGTAGATATTGTCAAAAGTGGTGGCAAAGCCTAGACTGCCAGTGAGCACAATGACTTCATAATCAACCATTTTCACCCCTGAAAGTAAAACAAAAATCCTGATGGTTAAAGAATTCTAATAATATTTTTTTTATGATTTTCTTCTTTTTTTTTGACAGTGAATTAATCCCAAACCTGACACTGACTGAAATCCTTTCAAAAGTTATCTGTCTTACCTCTGCTAATGACACCAAGAAGTTCCTTTGATGAACTGCTCTGCTGATGTAGCAGTACTGATGTCTCTATTTATGCACAATTTTGTGGGAGTGTCCTTTGAAATGATACTGTCATCTCTGGTGAGATCATGCTCAACCTGTGGGACCTGAAAAAAAAAAACACAGCACATGCAATACAAATTTTTTTACATGATTATGAATATTTCTTATGTCTAGAAACTAATTACACACTGAGAAAAAAATTATTGACTTTCTGTTACAGATATCTGTTTGACTGCTTTTTAAGGTTTTTGTAATCGTTCTATCAATGGAAATACTGGTACAGACATAAGAGAGTGCAGGAGTATGCAACTACAAATTTCTTTTTCTGGTCACACAATACACATGGGGGCAAAAATATTTGGCCCCCCCCCCCCCAATAAACTTTTTATTTTTTTGTGGAAAAAAAAAACCCTGTCAAAACCTAGTTAATGACTTAGCCACGTGAGGTAGTTTCAAAAAAGACATTAGAATCCTAAACCTGCTGCAAGGTTCCAGACCAAGAGAAACACTTCTGCAGAGAAACTACTTCATTTTTTAAAGAATGATACACATGATGATGCTCCTTTTTTATTTGTATTTATTTTATCTTTACAAGTACAGGTTTTATTGACATTTAAAGCTCTCTTCTCTATGAACCACACACAAGTGAAACAAAACAAAAAACAAGGAAACTTTACAATACGCCTGCACAATGATACGTACTTAATCACTTGAAGAGACGGCTCTCTTCAAACCCAAAAAGTTATAAGGATACTGTCATTCAATGTTCAAGTGAAAGATTAAAATGAACTCGTTTCACTTTCCTTTCTTTATTTTCTTTTTTTCAGTGAGCGTATCATTTCTATCAGTTCCCAATAACTGGCATCATCCCAGCTAGAATCATCTCAACTATATTAAGATATTATATGTTGTTAGCTTGATTTCGCCCACATTCTAGGGTTACTTAGTGACTTTATGGAAAATAAGCAGTTAAATGTACATTACTGAAGCACAGCCACAGTGACTTGATCTCAAAAATGTAATGCCAGAATTGAGCTTTTTTTTATGATAACTAGATAATAATCACAGAACTAAGTTATACTTTACTTTTTTTTCTGGATCTAGTAACAACAAAAGTGTTGTGGATAGGCGTAGCTTTGGGTCACATGGTGTCTGTAATAGTAATAGTGATTGCTATATCACCTGTTCATGTCCCGAGGGAATTTTTGTGAATGAGTGGGTGATGGGGGAAGTTGACTTTTGCTCTCCGCTCAATCTTAGAATGTTTTTGATCACTGTTTTTCAACAGATTTTAAGGATTTGATAACAAATAAAGAAGTTTTTAACCTGGAACTTTGACTTACGTTTTGAACAGCGGGCGCGTCAACATTATTCCCCTATACAGCTGCTCGGTGACTCAAAGGCTTGACAGTTGCCAATAAAAAGTAATAACAAAAGTAAAAGCTGCAAAGTGTATGGACTCAAGATAGTATACATGCATAAGGTTCAAGAAACACACACAGCAAAACTCTGCCCTGTGTTGTATAGACTGGCTTGAATAGGCTAGTTGTTCAGTGAGGTATGTGTAGGATAAAGGTGCTGTCCTTAGCCACTGGTATGGATACGTGAATGACACCTAGGTCAAAATCAAAGCCCAAGAAGTAGAAACCTTCACTACTCACATCAAGTCAGTGTATAGAAACATAAAGTTTACAACGGAAGACACAGAAGTTAGCCATTCTTGGACTGTGCCATACGCATTGAGGCGAATGGAAACCTCAACATTGAAGTTTATCGGAAGCCCATACACATAGACTAGTACTTACTTTTGGACTATCACCGCCCTATAGAGCACAAAATTGAAGTAATCCGGACTGGGCAGAAAATGTTCCCGCTAAGCCAAAAGGGAAAAAGAGGGAACACACACATGTAAACAAAGTTCTTAAAACATGTGGTTATCCCAAGTGGGTTTTCATAAAATTGGCAAAGATTCACAGTATAGAAGCTCAGACACCAACTAAGGAGAACCAGAAGGACAAAATGAACAACACTGTCATCCCTTATGTAGCAGGTTTATCAGAGAAACTCAGTAGAGTCTTCTCCAAGTATGACATCCCAGTGTACTTCAGATCCAGCCACACATTTAGAGAAAAACTGGTTCATCCCAAAGACATAACTGTTAAAAACAAACTTAATAATGTGGTGTATGCTGTACAGTGTAGCGAGGAATGCCCAGAACTCCATTTGGAGAGACCAGACAGCCACTTCATAAATGCATGGCACAACATAGAAGAGCCACCTCGACGGGACAACACTTGGCTGTCCATCTGCATCTAAAGGACAAAGGTCACTCTGTCCAAAATGTTAACATTTTGGATGCAGAGAAGAAAGATTGTTTGAAAGAGGAGTGAAAGAAGCCATCTATGTCCACTGTGAGCGACCATCTTTGAACAGAGGCGGTGGCTTAAAAAATCATTTGTCTGCCATGTATAAATCAGTTGAGACATCTTAAGATGAGATGAGATATGAGATATCCTTTATTTGTCAGTTG